CTGTTGTATATACTCTGCATTTGTCTTTTGTTTTCTCATTGAAATCCAAATCAAATGAGTCTTTGTTCCATATATAATCTGGGAAATTTGTTGTGCCTTCAAATGTACGAGGTGTGATTTGCTGAAAGCTTTGGTATATGTTGACTGTTACTGTATTGTCAGTTGAATTGAAGAGATGCATTATTCATTGTTCCTTGCTAACCTACAGTTTCCACCTGTATGAATTTGACGAAACCTTCTTTTAATGGTGGATTTAAAATACTTGGTTCCTGATTGAATAAACAGAGTGTTTTAATAATTAGAATGTATTGAAGGGGGGGATGACTTTCAGTATGTTGACAGTATATTGCAAGTATTGAATCATTTTATTTGTGTGACTACTCTGATTTTGCTAAATTGGTTTCACTTCTGACTTCTGTCCCCTCCCATTAGCCTGGTTGCTGTCATGTATTCGTCCATACATCTTAACATGTGTCTCCGTCAATTACTGTAAAATACTTTATTTTAGCTGGAATTCATTTTTGGTGCTTTGTATAGAATTTATTTTCATTGAATCATTCCTTCAGCGAAAATAAAGTATTCTACAGTACAAGATTTTTAATATTTATCTGAAATCAGGTGAAATAAACCCAAGGTTACTGGTTTATACACCTTAACAAGAGTACTGTAGCAGCTTTGTGGGAGGGATGACGGAAAGGGAAGTTTCCACAATATTCAGAACTATTTCCCCTTTTCTAGCTACTCTAGTAGTTTAGGAGTTCCAATTTTAAACTATACGATCTTATTTTTCCATCAGGGTCAAGGTTATGGCAACTTTAACTGTCGACTCTTTTCATAAAAGCTTACATCCTCTCTGTGCACGGTCATTCACCCATGTCGCAATACTGTGGATGTACTCAACAGATTTACTGTACTTTGTTATTATGGGGGGTTTTGTCTCTTAAAACCATTGCTACTCCTGCTTTTTAAAGTCAGTGCATGTTGATTGACGCACTGCTGTGAATACACTGAATACACCCAGTGAGTGACCTGCATTCTATTGTACATTTGAAATACTGTACTGTGCTTTGGTAGGTCATAAAAATCACACCAAGTAGAAAATAACATTTTGAAAGTTTTTGACAGACTTGGCTGAACTCCTTGCGGCGTACAGTGGTGTACTTTGGATGTTTGTGCTGTAGTGATTGTTTCCTTGTTTAACTGTATCTCAGTTGCGTGATGCGAGTTTTTGACTCCCGTGTGCGAAGCACAAAAAGGGAGTCTTTGCAGTTAGTGTGTCTGTCTGTGTGTCTGTCTGTGTGTCTGTCTGTGTGTGTGTGTGTGTGTGTGTGTGTCTGTTCCATCTGTTCCATCGATATCTCAAGAACCAATGTTCGGATTTCAATGAAACTTGGTATATAGCTTGTCTGGGGCAATGCGCAGATTTGATTAGTTTTTGGTTGACACCATGCATATTAATGAGCTCATCTGCATAATAATGTGTGAATTTTAAGCTATTTCAGTTATATCTCAAGAAGCATTAAAACGATTTTT